ATAATTTCATCGGCTCTCAATTTATTTCTGAAATATTAATTCAATTTAATTGAATGTATATTAGATAGTAGTTCAACATCTTAACACTCGGACCGGGAAGGCGCTTTGTATTTAAAGTTTTAATATTTATATAGACGGTCTTGTTTCCAATCATATTGATTAGATGTAAATCGGAAAATAAACGAATGAGAAAAAGATACATACGGTCAGAGAAAAGCATTAGAGTTGTTAAGAGAATTTGAGTGCAATATCGAGATAAGAAACCGAAAAATATGGGCAACATTTTTAATATTAAAAGGTAAAGGAAGAGCGCTGCTAAAATATAGAATAGCAACAAGGTTAGGAATTTTGCGGATAGGATTGGAAATAAGTAATATTAATGATTCTGACAAGATCCAATTTTAAAGGTATTGGTAAATTAAAAGATTTTCAATTAACATTACCAATTGATAAAACACATCCGCCTATTTCACAACCAATAAGGCGAATTCCATTTAAATTGCCCAAAAAAATAGAAAAACAAATAAAAACACTTATAAGTCACGATATTATAGAAAGAGTCGAAAGCCTAACCGCATGGGTTTCATCAACAGTGCCAATAGTAAAGAAAAGTGGTGAAATAAGGTTATGCATGTGCAGCGAACAAATAAAAAGATTATGTGAAAGATATTCATTACCAGTTCTAGAAGACATTTTAAATACGGTTAGAGGTAATAGCTGATTTAGTACAGTAGACATTAAATCGGCATACCACCAAATTGAATTGAACGAGAAGTCGAGAAAGATTACTACATTTGTAACAAATTCAGGGCTATACCGATATAAAAGATTAATGTTCATAATAAATTGCGCTTCAGAAATATTCCAAAAAATTAACAGATCAATATTAGCAGATTGTGAGGGAACGATTAACTTTATTGACGATATAATTATTTGTGGAAAACACGTGAAAAACACGATAAAAGATTAGAAAAAGTTTTCGAAACATTGAGAGAAAAAGGAATAACTTTAAATAAAAGTAAATGTGTGTTTATAAAAAAAGAGATAACATTTATGGGATTCAGAATGCGGGATGAATATTAAGTAGAATCAAAGGTAGAAGCGGTAAAAAAATTTAGGATACCCAAAACGGCAGAGGAGTTTTTTAGGGCTAGTAAATTTTTGTGCGACATTTATACTTGACTTGACAGTTAATGAGCCACTGAGAAGACTGACAAGAAAAGGCGCGAAATTTGTATAGGAAAAAGAACAAGAGGAAGCATTTAAAGTTTTAAAAGGGAGATTAGCAAGCGCGGAAGCGTTGGGTATATTTAATGTACACGCGAAAACAAGGGTGATAGCAGATACAACCCCAGTGGCATTAGGATGCGTATTAACAAGACGAGAAAAATCAATGGCGTATAATTAACTATGCAAGCAAAAGTTTGTCAGATTGCGATATAGACGTCAGAGACAATATATACGTATACTCACAAACAGAAAAGGAAGCGTTAGCGCTAGTATTCGCGTGTGAGAGATTTTATATTTGGCTGTACGGAATAGAATTTCAGTTAGTGACAGATCACAAAGCGTTAAAATGTATATTTGCGCCGCGTACAAAACCAAATGCGAAAATAGAGCGATAAGTTTTACCGTTCAAATATAAAGTTATATATTAGAAAGGAAAATCTAACATAGCAGATGCACTCTCAAGACTGTGTAAAAAAGAGAACCGAAAAAAAGAATTAAGAAGATGTATATTATATTCAATAGATAGTATCAGAATCGGTACCAAAAGCAATGATATTAGAAGAAATTGAGATAGGATAAAAAAACGATAAAAAAATAAGGGAAATCAAATTAGCGCTGCAGATAGATGATTGGAACGCACTTGAAAATTCGTGGTATAAAATAATAAAAGAACAGTTATGTATTTTTAACAACGTACTATTAAAAAATACGCATATAATTACTCCCGAAAAACTACGAAAGGAAACAGCATTAGCACACGAAGGACATCCAGGAATAGTTGTGATAAAACGATGATTAAGAAGTAAAGTTTGGTGGAAAGGAATAGATAAAGACATGGAAAAATTTGTTAAGGCGTGTAAAGGGTGGCAGTCCGTACAATGACCTGTAGAACCACCGCCAGTCAAACGGCCAGAGAAAGCATGTGAAACAATTGTGATAGATTTAATGGAATCGCTACTAACAGGAGAAAATTTGTTAATTATTATCGATTATTATAGTCAATAAGTAGAGGTAGCGATTCTAAAAATATATCTGCGAAAATAATACAAGACAAATTATTTGAACTGTTTGCGATACGGGTTACCAAAAACGATTATATGTGATAACGGTTGTCTTCACTGATGAAGGATTAAAGGAATGGTTAAATTCACACAAAGTAAAAGTTGCGCATGTAGCATCGTATTGGTCATAGGCAAACGGAGAGGTAAAGAGACAAAATAGAAGTATTTTAAAAAGACTAAAAATAGCGTACGCGGAAAAGAAAAACTAGCGTGATGAATTATTAATGTTAATAGTATATGAGCAGCCATAGAGCGTCAAAACAAATCCTCTCCTCGTCTCCCTCCGGCGCCGTGGGCATGGGCTAGATGGGTCAGTTTGGAAAAAGGGCGCGCTTTGATTGGTCGAGGAGTGAAGGGTAAGGGTAATAAGCTAATTAAATGGTGTGTTCTGATTGATTCGCACCATACCTACCCATAAAGTGATTGGAGAAGAAGGGTGGTAGAAGGCCACGAACAAAATGGAGGGTAAAATCTGAAAAAATGATGAGTGGAGACTGTAACATTTTTTATCGCAAGGACAGAGTACGAACACCGAACATGAATAGCGGGCGGTTTTATGACGGTCATTTTTTTTGTTGGCGCGGGACAATGTCTCCGACGTTTTGTTGGCATTTTAACTAGTAAATATTTTTTATCTATGAGAGATGAGATCTTATATAAAAATTTATGAGTCTAGGGGGTTTTTACTTTTGCTCGGAAGAAAAAGGGGAAGTAAAATAGGAACGAACATGTCCAACAGGCGTGATGTCTTTGAGCATTACTTTAAACAAATTCTTTCTATATTTTATGTATTTAATGTACATTATCTAAGTTTGTAATCTGTGTTAGCATAACAACCGCTAGTCTCGGGGAAGGAAAACTAGTTGCAGTAGTGATCCCCGGGGGTGGGTGGGTCCCAATCACCACGACACAGCGCGTCCTCGGGTTGCGGATAGAGGAAAAGCCTCGCTATCTCGGTTGAGGATAGAGGTTAGCTGCGAATAAATTGAATAAGCAGTCGCGGACAGCCGATTGGAATGGTCCTCCTGTTTGGGGGTTGGGCGTGGGTTTGATAGGCTCACACCGTGAAACGACTTTATCTAGAAACAACCAAAACTCGCCATGGATTCTTCTGGGGTAAAATTTTCCGGAGGTAAACTAGTCCCCCGTTCGGATCTCCGGGTGGGGACTACCTCGGGGAACTCATGTCGTATAAAGTCAAAACACGGGAGAGACATCAAAGTGGGTACGTGGAACGTTCGAAGTCTTTACAGACCTGGGGCGTTTCAATCGATGGTCGGGGAGGTCGAAAGGTACGGGGTAGAAGTTGTCGCGTTGCAAGAAACAAGATGGGCCGGGGAGGGTTCGCTTAATGCGGGTTCGTACACGCTTCACTATGGAGGGTCGGAGATCCATAGTCTTGGCATCGGTTTTATGATTAATAGGAAAATCTTATCCGCGGTAAAAGACATTAAATTTATAAACGAAAGATTAGGATTGCTCGTTGTGCAGGGCCGATGGTACAAGATCGCGATAATCAACGTACACGCGCCGACGGAAGATAAAGATGGCGAAATTAAAGACGGGTTCTACGAAGAACTCGAACACCTCGTGGATCAATTACCGAACGATTACATGAAAATAGTCGTGGGAGATTTTAACGCGAAAATCGGTAAAGAGGACATTTTTAGACCAACGATCGGGCTCGAAAGTTTGCACGAGGAAAGTAACGATAACGGAGTGAGGGTAATTAACTTTGCGACCGGCAAAAATCTTATCGTCAAAAGCACGTATTTTAAACACAAAAATATCCATAAACAAACTTGGATTTCCCCGGATGGAGGCACGCGTAACCAAATTGATCACGTTCTTGCAGATAAACGGCGTCACACGAACGTACTCGATGTCAGGTCTTATAGGGGGGCGGATTGCGACTCGGATCACCTCTTTGTAATTGCCAAAATCAGGGAACGTCTTTCGCTAAACAAAACTAACGGGCAGTTGTTTGGAACTAAACGTCTAAATGTACAAGGTTTGATCGAGGGAGAAAACGGAATAAAATACGCGGTCGAAGTAACGAATAGACTCGCGGCTTCAAAGGAAATAGATGAATCGGATGATAACACGGTTGATAAACACTGGGAAAACGTACGAGACGCGATAGTAAAATCGGCGGAGGCCACGGTTGGTTTTTGTAAAAGGAACAAAAACAAGCCGTGGTTTGACGAAGAATGCGTAAAAATTGTTAAAGTACGAAACGAAGCGCGCATCACGTGGTTGGCTCAAAATACGAAGGAAACTCGGGATCAGTTTCTTAAGATTAGGCAAGAGGCTCATAATATGTTTAAAATTAAGAAGCGTCAATACTTAAAACGTAAAATTGAAGAAATAGATGAAAATTGTAAAAGCAGTAACGTACGAGGCACGTACATGGGGATAAATAATTTTAGAAAGGGATTCCAAGCTAGGACGGAAATGGTGAAAGATGAGAACGATAATTTAGTTACGGATACAACGGCAGTTTTAAACACATGGAAAAATTATTTTGATCGGTTATTGAATGTCGAATCTGAAAACGACCGGGAAATAGAGAATTTTGAGTATCACACGGCTGAACCTAGGATTAACGAACCGACAATTTCAGAAGTAGAAAGCGCGATTAAAAAATTAAAAAATCACAAAGCACCGGGTAATGACTTGATTCCGGCGGAACTGATTAAATGGGGGGGAAGTAGATTGATAGAAGAAATTCAGAAATTAATTATCTTAATATGGAATAAAGAAGCATTGCCGGAACAATGGAAAGATTCAATTATAATCCCGATTTTCAAAAAGGGGGACAAAATGAGTTGTAATAATTACCGGGGTATCTCACTTTTACCTACATGCTATAAAATTCTGTCGAATATTTTATTAATGAGGCTTGTACCATATGCAGATGAGATAATTGGAGATCATCAATGCGGCTTTAGGAGAAATAGATCGACTGCGGACCAAATCTTTACTATTCGGCAAATCTTGGAGAAAAAATGGGAATTCGACCAATCGGTACATCAACTTTACATTGATTTTAAAAAAGCGTATGATTCGATAAAACGGGAGAAAATGTATGAAATTTTAACTCGGTGGGGGATACCCAAAAAATTGGCTAACTTAGTCCAAGTTTGTTTAAAAGATACCAGAGGTAGAGTAAGAATAGGTAATCAAATGTCGGAAACTTTTAATATTCATAGCGGATTAAAGCAGGGGGATGCATTGTCACCTCTTCTGTTTAATCTAGTATTGGAATATGCTATTAAAGAAATGCAGAAGAGTAATGATGGTTTGCAGTTGAACGGTACAACACAAATATTAACATATGCGGACGATATTGCTTTGTTGGGAGATAATAAAGAAACACTAATAAATAACGCTAAAATTCTATTAGATAAAACGAAAGAACTGGGGCTGCAAATAAACGTTGAAAAAACTAAATATATGGTCACTGATAGAATTCAGAATATTCATAATAACGGAAACCTGGTCGTCTGTGATAAAATTTTTGAACGGGTTAGCAATTTTAAGTATTTAGGATCGATTTTAAACCAAACTAATGAAATAAGAGAAGAGCTCAAGAGAAGAATTAATTTGGGGAATGCGTGCTTCTATTCGGTTAAGAAACTACTCGGTTCGCGGATATTGTCTAGGCGCTTAAAAATTAGAATTTACAGAACGATTATTTTACCGGTAGTCCTTTATGGCAGCGAAGCGTGGTCACTTACATTACAAGACGAGAAAAGATTTAGGGCTTTCGAAAATAAAGTACTTCGAAAAATCATCGGGGCAAAACGCGATGAGGAAACGGGCGAATGGAGAAAATTACACAACGCAGAATTACATCAATTATATAATAGTCCGGATATTATTAATGTCATAAAATCGCGTCGATTAAGATGGGCAGGTCACGCGTATGGATGAGAATCGAATTGCATATAAAGTACTAATTGGTAAACCGGATGGGAAAAAACCATTGGGTAGACCAAGACGTAGATGGGAAGATAATATTAGAATGGACCTTAACGAAATGGTGTACGAGGGTCACAAATGGAGGGATCTGGCTCAGGGACGGGAACAGTGGCGGGATTTGATATTTGCGGCAATGAGCTTTCGTTCCTAACGCCTAATAATAATAATAATAATAATAATAATAATAATAATAATATCTAAGTTTGTAATACGAGAAAAAATGTATTTATTGTAAATGAGGGTGGAGGTAGGAGTAAGAAACAGGCAATATTTACAAGTTCAAAACGTTTATTTAAAAAAGATATTACATAAAATAACTATTTTATTTTTTTGAAAGAGTACACGTTTGAATGACGGTATACAGCATGAGAATTTACGAATTTATGTTTGAAGAAAAATTGTATGAAATAACTATACGGTCATTTCGCTTACAATCAGAGGTAAACAGATTAATAAACTGGATAAGATTATAGCCATTACACATAAAATGTAGAAATACGCAGTAGTATTGTCCACAAGTTTGATAAAGTTGAGTCCTTGTAGCGATGTCATATTCCAGCGATATGTGATGGAGTTTCGTCAAAGTCATAAGAGCAATCTTGGATCTGAAAGCGGCAAGCCGTAGCTATCAAAATATGTTTCTGTTCATCGATGTAGAAGGCGATCCAGTGTTAGTCATCGATCATGATCGTCCGTGTTAGCAACAACGGCAGACGATCTCGTCCAGTTCCTCGTCATGACCTTCGGCAGTCGATCGGCAGGATAGACCTCCGAATGTCGGACACTGAGATGACGTAATTCGTTAAAAACTCCCAGCGAATTCATTTCTCGTTGTTGGAGAGCGGAAATTCAAAATGTACCTCTCTTGCCGGCGTGTGCGATGTGGAGCTCCCAAAAATGCTTGACGTTTGTGAGACCCTAGTGTTAGCTTTATCTTTATCAGTCGACGAGTCAAATTTTGGAAGATCTTTTTTCTCCTCGTCTGTGTCGCTTGTTTGTCCTCACTTTGATTCGTCTTTTCTGTCACGATATTTTTCTTTTACGCTTTAATATTGCAAATGATATCGTGTTTTTGATTTTTAAATTAAATTGAAAAATTCCCGCAGATTGTTTTTTTGCTCTCAACGTCGCTCTCGCTCCAATTTTCTGAGGGAAGGCTATCATAACTTGAATTACTGCTATTTTGTGTTGTTACGTCCAGACTCCACAGTTCTTTTCTTCGACAAGAAACTTTCGTCATCACAAAGAATTAGTGAGCAGTAAACCACTTGAAATAGGAGCTGAGAGCAATAAATGCTCGTTTTAAACTAACAACCCATCCGGGACTGAACCGTTGGGTTAGATATTTGAACCAAGTATCAAATAGACAAACCTTATCTCGAGGACTATAAAATAAAATAAGAGCTGAGAACAATGAACGCACAGTTTTTAACTAATAAACCATTCGGGACAGAACCGTTGGGTTGATATTGGAACCAAGGGCCAGATAGGCGAAACTTAAGAACAAACAGACTAGGCTTTGTAAAATGAAACAGCAAGTGTGAGCAACAAATGACATGTGGCTCGCATCTATTAGACACTCGAGAAATGGTCGATGACAAAAGTTATCTTAGACATATAAACAATATCCCTAATCCTGGATTGGCTCAGCAGTACACGTACTCTGCTCTCGGCGTCACTAACTCGCCATATAAAAGGAGAGGTCCTCCACGAGGAGCGTCACTTCTCCTTCGGGACTCGGCAGTTATTAGTGACTTCTCCTTCGGGACTCGGCAGTCAGTAGTCACTTTTCATTCGGCATTCGATATTCGATATTCGATATTCGGCATTCGGCACTCAGCAGTCACCAGTCAAACTCCATCTCCGAGATTGTCCGCGATACGCGTTAAAGTGACTCGACCGGAGCTTCCACATCCTAGTGCCAACTTTCCGTGGGGTCCTGAGGCTAACGATTGCAACTGCTAGACCTACCCACATCCGCAGAACAACAGTAAGTCCCATACACACACACACACACACACACACCCGCGGATATATAAGAGAACCAACCACTATAATTTACCTCAAATTATAGTGCCGCGCCAGAACCGTCCTTTCAAAGGGTGGCTACGAAGCCGGGCCTACCGGGAGGCACGGAAACTCTTGGACGAAGAGTTCAAGAGGTATCTCGGAAGCTCACAAGAGCAGAATCGTCCGGCCGAGGGTCGCCTATCACCAGTACCATCCGCGTCACCACCGGCTCCGCCGGCAAATCACCCCGAAGTGATACCGCTTCCGCCTCAAACATCTTCGCCTTCACCACCTCAGCCACCTCCTTCTTCTCCCCTCGAACTCCTTCACCTGCGTTTCCCGACGCACTCACAGGAAGAATCCTTTCCGATTTGCAACCACAATCATCCGATTCGTTCCACCCAACTTCCCCTAGAAGTCTATCTCCGACGAACTCCACTGACAGCGTGGAGTTCCTAGAGGAAATTCCTCCACCCCCACCTAGATCCTACTTCCGGATCCTGGAGAGTGACACTTTTGAGTCACTCATCTCTCAATTCCCGCGGGTTACTACCGCATCTATCCCTCAGGGGGCCTACACTATCGGCCCTCATTACTTCGATCCCCAGGAAATCCGAAATGCCATTACTGGTCGAAGCCCTACCTCAAATATCCCCGTATTCCTACCAAATTCCACCCATTCAATTTTAGTGCCTGTAAGATTTTTCAATAATCTTTTCCCCCCTTCTTCCGTTTCCATCCTTGAAGTATGTTAAACCAAACCTATCCGATTTCCCCCCCCCTTTTTTTTTAACACAATGTATAGTTTAAATATTATAAAAGTGTAACCGTTTTGGAATAGATAATACTGTGTGCCAATAACCATAATGTATAGAGTAGATGTAATAAATATTATTATATAACCGATTAGCATATAATTGCGTGATTTTCCTATTTGTTAATTAGCTAGAATAAATAATGTTACTAATCATTTGTCTCGCTCTCGTCTTCTATTTTTAAAACCCGCCTAATAACACAACGACCTCGTAAACACTAAACCTTGCCCTTTCAAAGATTGCACGTGGTCCATTCCCGAGTTAAAGGGATTTTTCCTTGACTCGAAATTCGGACCGACGATCGCACCGCCCATAGGAAACAGGCGTCATAGCGTCTTCACGAGACGTTGACCCATATTCCGAAGCGGACAAAAAAAAGGGTGCGTTCGACTCGCCGGTGTTTGTTTCCAGGCAAATACCTGCGAGACTAGAGTCTGACCGTCCTTCCACGCTCCATCCTTTTCTACTCCCTTCCCTGTCTCTCTAAATCCACTTTTCCGGAGCTTGGACGTAACAGTGTAGTTAGCTAACGTTTCAATTTGTAAGCGTTGCGTAAGGCGCAATATGATTCGATGCTGGTTCGAAATCCGTGATGCGTGTAGCGTTGTCCACGACCTTCAAAATCTGATAGATTTTTGAAAGCCCGAGAAATTCTTTCCAGATTATACGTTTCTAGAAAGTAGATTACTCAGATAACGTTCTCTTGTCCTCTGATATAGATGTAGCGTGTCGTATAATATCACGCAGACGTATCGTAATGTTTTTTGGATTGACGTCTCCATCGAACCATTCAATTCCGTGATAATTTTGTGTAAGCCAGTTGTTTTCTCGTCTTACTCTCTCAGGTAAATCGTCAAATGGATAAGGTGATGTCATAATCCAGTGTCCGGTGATCGTCGCATTAACCGCTAGAGCTGCGACTTTTTTCGGAATAAAGTTTTCTTCGACATCGAAAAAACCTTGTATGTCGATGACTATATCCATTATGATATTCGAATTTTCGCTTTTTTTACGTCACTAAACGTTGGTGTCGCGAACGAAATTAAAGCTTTTTCGTCATCTTGCATCCAATTAGATAAGAAAAAAATGTCTAGTGGGGGAAAATAATTTTCTCTCAGAAGTCATAAGGGTAACCGGAATAGTTGACAATGACTTCAGGCGAGGAGTCGATTTCTAAAACGTTATCAAACTTGGCATACAATTAACTTACGGAAAGAGTTTTAATCGTAAGCTTCCGTGTTTTACGAGATTCTAATGTCCTGCGCAATTAGCAGAGAAATCTGGAATAAGATCGAAATCGAAAAGAGTGTAGCCGTTGATATAATCGTCTCTACTTATAGAATTACTCTCGTTCAGAAAATGAATGTCGGTTCCCGAGAATAATATATGATAAGCTTCAACGTAGAGCGGCTTGTTTTTCGAAAAATTTGATTGTATCGGTCTACTGGGAATTTGCCATTACGTACAGCGGAAAGAAATTTATTCCGTAATTTTTTTAATTAAACAGGGGTTCAATTTTCTATCGCCGTTAAACGCCTTGTTATCGATAAAGCCAACTATTATTTATTTCGGCAGCTGTCCGAGTATTGTATTGTCTATCGATTCTCCCACGACGCCGACGTGTACCGTGAATATTTTAACTTCAACTCTCAAGGGGCTACTTGGCGGTAGTTTTACTCAGCATTCTAGCAAGTAGAACACCCGGGCTTATTTTTACTCTTCTTACGAGTAGATTAGCGTCAAGAATTATTTTCGTTATCGTATTTTTGATATCGTTTTACTCTCTATAAGATAAAATGAATCTTTCGAGCGTACGAGTCTCATTCTAATAACTTTCACTCCGTTAATTAAAAATTTATCTTGATTGAAAATGTCGCAGTAAAGGTGACCAATGAGATCTAGCGCGTGATTTCCTGAAAATGGAATGTATTGTGCGCGTCTTTCGAGCGCGGTATTTGGATTTGACGAGTCTAACGTGTCGTCCATGTAACCAGGAATATCCGCATCTCATAAGTAAGAGATTAGATGGTTTTTGCGGATGAAGCATAATTTAATAACGCCTCGATATATGCGCGGTACGCGTAAGCGTTGTTTGGTGGCGATACGAGCTTTTGATTGAAATATACGTCGATTTGGTTGAACATGGAATGCAGTAAATGATTTGAAGAAAGGACATGCTTTTCTCCAGCTGCGAAATCGTATCTCAATTAAGAGAATATGTCAGATACATCGCGTTTCTTGACTCGATGTTTCCTAGTGGATGGTTTTTAGTTTTTCTTCCTGCAGCACGAATTTTCTTTTTCTTCTTTGTCACTTTCTTGCTCTTCTTCCCTGTGGTACTTCTTGATGATTTTCTTTTGACCTCTTGACGTCATTTACGATGCACGATTTGTCTATCTCAACCACCGAGTGGAAACTGAAGCGCCGCGGATTTTGCGGATATTTTATATCCAGACCCTTCATCAGGGAACTTATTTTTTCTTTGGCTTTTCTTTTCAAATTAACTTTCAATTCCGCAGTCGATTTTTGACCGCTTTCTTTAACGACTTATTATTTTCGACGTTTTCTATCACATTAATTCTCGCACGTAAAGCTTCTTTTTGGACAGCACACGCATCTTTATTTAGATAAGGTAGTATTTTTCTAAATTACCCGCCGAGAAAACTTCCGATTCCATGTCCGCGTTGATAGGGTAAACCGACGAAAACACGCGGAATTCCTCTGTTACCGGTGTCCCGCCCTCATATTCCATCGTGAGTTTCTAATTGTAGACTGGCACTACCGACACGCTCGCGTACCCGAAAATAAGTTATTGCTTACGTTTAAAATGTAGCGTTACAGTCAGCATACCGAATTCGAATAAAATTTTATTTCCAAGATGATCTCTTATATCTATTTCGATTATTCTGAAATTTGTTTGTCGCAATGGGATATAATTTGGAAATGAGAAATGCTTTATCAAATTTGCACGAAATTTGCGTAATTATGACTGCGTATTTCGATCGGTACTATTCTGAGAAGAGGAGTACGTACATCATCTATTATATAAGGTGCACAAATATCACAATACACGAACATTTTATCGGGGATAGCTCGTCACAAACTATACTTGCTACTCCAGTAACCGACTGTATGTCGCTGCCCCGTCTTCTTATTAAATCCGTGAGTAAGAAAAGTTTTTCTCTTCTGTTTCACTGGAATTAGATATACGTATCGTAAACTTGGAATAAAATTGGTGTTTACTGGAAATTGTTGCTAAGAAATCTAGCATTCGTCGAAGATTATCGGAAAAGTTTATATGATGTAGCATTTCTCATAGCAGTTAATACTTATATAGACTTTACCGTCAGACGCTCTTTACTGTTCAAGTTTAAAAATGCGATTTGGCATTTTTACACGCGATATTAATCTCCTCAATAAGTTCATGAATATCATTATAAATTCCATTTGGAAATGCAACTTCTTTTGCCGTAAACGACCCATTATCGTCTCCTTATCGGATTTAACATCGACAAATCTGATCACATTTTCATTATGACGTACGTGTAAAAAGTACAGGGAAATTGAATTTCATTTACCGTAATCTCCCATTATCTACCATTATCCACCATTATGCAACACTATAGAGTGGGATAATTCCGTGATGAAGGACGATGTTGTATTATCTGAAAAATGACGCATACTGCTGTTACTCGGAAGTACCAGAAGAAGTTGTTCTTCCTCCATCGCAAAGAGAAATCAAACTCGATATCCGGAATCCAAGTATCATACTTACTGAGATAATCGCGCCAGTTAACTAGTACTTACTTATTAACTCTTCGCTCCCTACTCTTTATCATGCGATCGACGATAAATTGTTCTTCCTCTAAGTTTTTCTCAACTCGAGCTAATTCTTACTCATAAAAAATACCATATATGACTTTGTCTGCTAATTCTCACAGTTCGTACACATGAGAATTTCGTCAATCGAGAACACGATAAATTTGAAATATTTTCTCGCTCCACTTAGCCTCGTAACCTTTCTCATAGGCAGCTTTCGCTTTACTGATACAAACGAAATCTCCAACGCGATATTTAATCTTTTACGCCCGTTTCTTTAATACTCTATGTCGTTTTTCGACGTGATATATTTTCACGAGCGATACGTGCGTTTTCTCTCGTTACTACCGCAGATTGCATTCTCGTGGACGAGTGACGCGTGTGATTGTAAGCGCGTACAATATCCTGTAGAACATAGATTATATAGCGTATATATTGCATATTTTTATGCGTAAAATAACTCCACATTCGCTCCTTCAGTGTTCTATTGAAGTGCGACGATGGCGGCTTTAATGTCCGGATTGCGCGTTATTCGAAAACGAATGTCGTTTTCTTTAAGAAATTTCTGCATTGGGTGTGCAACAAATTCTTTATCCTTGTTCGTTTGTAAGTATACTCGTCCTTCGCTTTTCGCTAGTACGCGTTGAAAAGCTTTTATCACGCTGTTGCTCGTTTTGTCACGTAACGGTTCTACCCAGATGTATTTGTTTAATACACGATAATTACTAACAGATAGGAATAACCGTCATTGTAACTTTTTAGATTTCGGAGTTTGATCAAATCTGCCTCCCACACATCGTTAATGTTTGTCACGCTATAATGCAATTGCGGGAATTTTCTGCGCAATGATCGGTGCAACGTGTACGCGTCTTGCGATTCGAGCCAGCGTACGACTTCTCCCCGCAAGAAATTCGATTTAACGCGAGTTAAATTATCCACCGCCGAATAGCCCGCATAATGTCGTAATATAGTTTTTCAAACGTCATCATTATCTCAGTTTTTCCAACCAAGTAATCAATTTTTTCCCGTTTGCAAAGATTATCGGGGATATCAGTTTTGTGTACGAGAAAGAATCAATGAACTTTCCTCATCTATTTCTTTTATGTTTTTTTCCTTCCTCGTGCTTTCAATATAATCAGCGCGAAACTCGCGCTTTCAATATAAAAAGCATGGAACTTGCGCGAGGTCGAAGTTTACAGCACCGTGCATGGACAATAATCGTTTATTTCTCACGAGTATAAAAGGTATGTTTAACACACGGAGTAATCGTACAAACTAATTTCTATCCACTGCTTTCATAGTTTTTCTCTCGCGCATTGC